CAGGTTGGCAATTTAATTATTTCGTTCTGTTTCCTGGTATTATAATCATTTAACCTGAGTATTATATTTTGTTTGATTTATACGTCAGTTTGTTGGTTGAATGGTTCTGCGCTTTAGGTCCCTACTGGGATATCTTAACATTCAGCATCTTTGAAAGCAGGTGCGTGCTGCATGCATATCGGTATGTGCAGGGTTCCATTTAAATATCCTCCAACTCTTGTGTGAAAATACCTTGTTGAGACGCTCTTACCTCTGACTGCCCCACCTCACTTTCCCAACGAGGCAGTCTGCTGAAGAAGTGACGGCTACGAGGAACAAGAGGAAGGAGAGAGTTGTGCGTGTGGGGGAGGCCGACGGGAGTGACCCGGCAGCCCTGCGCATGCCGACAGATTTACTGGCCACGATGATCGGCGCGCATCGCCGCGCTGTGCTGAGCACAGGCTGCTCCTGTAATTGCCTCTCACACGCGGAATCGCCCATAAACATCGCACGACTTTACACTTTGACATCGGCTCACAAGGCTCCTCGATTGGACAGCGATCAAAAGGCTTTCCTCAAAGCTTGCATAAACATACATATATATATACCCAACATATTTTATTTCAATTTAGTTTGGGATTCTTTATCCTTCGACATGCCATTTGAGCCTTGGTAAATAGTTTTGATGTCTGCTCGGTGAGGAAGTAATAGAAACCGACTCATCAAACAGAGCAGTGGCCCTGAGGCCTTTTTGCTGGACGTCAGATGTTTCCAGCAGAACTCATTCGTGTCCCTGGCAACTCTACGACGTGGCGTTCAAGGCCGGGCGGATTCCTGCTCTGCCCAGCGCGGTTTCCCGGATAGGAGCCGGAGGGTCGGTTCGCCCCGGGTTCGGCCCGGGTCGGCTCTGGCGGATAAGCATTTAGGTCGGCGCTTTTCGGTGCCCGTCCCCGCACAAAAGGGCTGATCGTTGCTAGACAGCCGGCACGGGTGGCTCACCGAGGAGCGGCGCACAGTCTCGCTGCCGACTCCGAGGCCCTGTTGGCCAATGCAAATACCCTCCCAGTTAGGGAATGCTGCAGGAATTGGACACAGTGTTCCGTGTTGCACCAAACACTTTGATCCTTTTCAGTCTTTTTGTGTATTAACAGGTTTGCTCGACGGTAACGCGCTTAAAAAGAGTTGCATTAGTAGGACGTCCACTACATGAAAGCCATCGCCACCACTCATTAATGAGCTTTATCCCGATTGTCCATCGCAACAACGTCATCCGTCTTTATTCTGCTGCCTTTCATCAATTACAATAGTGGAGGGGAGGCATCACACCGCTAGACTGGACCGCTTAATTATTTGTTTCTAGTACTATAAATGAATATCATGTTGGTTAATGTTACATTTCTCTCCCTGGCAGAACAGATCTATTTCAGGTCAATAAATTAGGAAGTAGGATGATATATTTCCTCTGCTTATAATTGCAAAATACAATTGTCATGCAAAAATAATGTATCTAGTGTATAAGATGTGCTCTTCGAGGCTTCCGTGAGGCCGTTTTACTTTTATTATGTGGTGGCTACAGTGAGCGACTTCACAGCCGCTTCCCCTCCTTGTCCCCTGGAGCCTCCCTCATCTTTCATTCACTGCTGGAATACGAAGACAATCAGTGGCCCAGTCATGTCTGCGATATTAATCACATTTTACCCCAGAAATATAGAATATTTGTGAATATAAACCAAAAACTATTTGGACTTTTTCCCTTGTCTGAGCTGAAAAAATGTGAACGCTCGATTAAGTTTTATCTTGCCTGGCGTTCGGGACTCATCCATATCCCCGAGCTTTAGCAGGCTATTAGTAACCGAGGCCCAAAATAGGGATGTTTTGTTTCCTCTCATTTCCTCTCCATCACCCTCTGAATTAACAGTTGATGACAATGAGCGCATAATTCAGAGTGGCCTTTCTTTCATTTCCCTAAAACAAAAAACAATACTTTGTTCAACAAGCTGTTGCAATTGTGATATTATTTTTATGCATTTTCCTTAGTCGTGCAACTTTTTAGAGAACGCACGCCCTCAGGCTTGGGACTCCACTTTGTTTCTCCATTATTAGGCATATAAGTGCAGTGGAGATGCTCTGCTAGCACGTCCAGGAGAAGAGACGTTAGACAGAAGAGCCGGCCGGAAGCGGCGAGCGCACCGACCCCGGGGGTCTAAAAATACCACTGTGCCTCTTTCAGATATTGAAGCCGGGTGATGACATTTAGTTGGCGGCCCTTCCAGCACTTTCTCCCCCCAGAGATGATCTTCTTTTCATATGCCGTCGCGTATAAAAATATAAATCTTTTCTATTGCGTGTATTGGAAAGGGCTGACTTTCTCTTCAGTGGGTCACGTTTAAAAAGTGGCACACGGAGGTTATTCTTGTGCCAGCGTAGAGCGTCGCGTAGTTGCTTCTGATGTTCACAGCCCCACCAAGTGTCTGACTCTCCAAAGGCGGCCTGACGCTTTCCCCTGTGTGATTTGCGCAGTGACGGCCCGGCATGTGCATTCTTTGTTGAGGATAGTCTGGCTTTTTGGAGGGTTTCCAAATAGTTTTATTCTGGTCATGCCTCCGCTTCATCTCAAATCCATGGAGTCAGTTGTAAAAAGGGGAAAATCCCCAAGACATGCCCTTGGTTTTCAATCTCCGTTCCTACCTCCTGCGTGTGGACCCGCTGCGAAGGCGCCAATCAATCTACAATTTTAGATAGCCTCTTCTTTTCGTGGGATCCAGTAGTCTTTGAATTTCTCTCCACCCCCCCCCCCGCTGGTGCTTTCACATTATTTAGTGCACCGTTCCAGGGGTGAAGAGGTTTGCTCTCAAGTGATTATTTCTCCTCTAAGGAGATAAGGATTTGGAATCAATTTGAACTCCACAAAAAGGGTTGGAGGTGCAGCCACTTAGGAAATCTTCATGATTACGTCGGCGGCGGCTCTGCGTGAGCAATTGTGCCTCATTAAAGGCTCATTTACAGTATCAAAAGCAGGGCATTGAAAGTTTTTTCTGATGTGTTAGAGGGTCTTTAATATGCGCCATGTTGTCTTTTTTTCCCCCCTCGCAGTTATTGATATTAGCAGTATTGCGCACAGTATAATTCAAAGCCACATGTTCCTTGCATATTCTATTCGGTAGCTACGTGACTCAATGAGCCTTTTACTTTGGTTTCTGTCACCGTCGCGAGGGTCTGCCATGCGGACGAGTCGTGGAGGAGCGAAGCTCCAGCGGCAGGAGGCAGACGATCGAGACGAACCCTTTTCCCGGGTCTCCTCCCCCTCTGGCGAGCGGCCACGCGCTCCCCCCCAGGGAGTCGTCGAGCGGGCGCGCGGTTCGGGGGAGGAATGTGCCCCGGGCTGGAAAAGGTTTGGCGTGCACGGAGAGGGTCCCCCCCCCCCCACCACCCCTCCGCCTCGCCGGAGAAAATTGGCCCGGACTCGACCGCAGAAACTCAATCCGCCTCCCCGGCTGGCCCCCTTTCTTTTTCGCGGGGGTCTGGTGGAGGATTATCGAGACCCGCTGTGGATTAATGATTAGCCGCACATTCGGGGGGGGGGGGACTGCCCACGACTGGTCGGTCTGTGATGCAAATGTGTTAATTCAGCTGTGGGTGTTTTTCTCCCCATTCAACCACTTTGAGCAGTTGACGCGGAGTGATTGAGGGGTTACGCACCCCGACTCCCTTCTCTGCGTCCCTCCCTTCCCCCCCCCCCCCCCTGCTGGTCGTTCCCGGTGCGTTGGGTGCACGGCGGCCTCCGTGACACATAAGCAGGAGACCATCTGAGAGGTGGACCTGGGGAGCCAAGGCCGTAAACGCAGGGGGCTCACTGGGTGAGCGGCACTGGCTTTTGTCTGTGCCCCTCTGCCAGAAAACTTTTGTCTCCAAGGAGGTGGGGGGGCGGATTTTGGGACATAATTGAACCATAATGCCTCTTATGTGAGCATCTTGCGGCACAATGAAGATCTCGCTTGACAAGATGGGCCAGAGAAAATAAACCGGCATATCTGAGTCATGCAGCGGCTGAGCTTGGGGGCTGGCCGGCGGGGAGCCGGAGAAACCCGATCAACTGTCTCTTTCTGTGCCAACATCCCGATGGCCAGGTAGTATTTATTTCCCTTTAGATCCATGAGAAGAAGATGGGCTACTTTTACACACATTTTACGTCACCTCTTTCAGCTGATTAAGTGTGTTAATTGTCACTGCCGGGGAAGACACATTGAAGCCCGGTTGCACATGGCGCGTCATCACGTGCCGTCTTTCACACTTTTAATTACAACACCTCGTCTCTGCGGAGGCTCATTCCGTTGCCCTCAAAGCACCAGAACAAACGGCTTCAAGTCCCAAAAAAAAAAAAACGTCAAAAAAAGATGGGAAAAACCTGAAGGGGTCCCGGAGGGAAAGACCCTTCCCTTGACCCCCCCTTGTCCGTCCCCTTTCAGCCGCTGACACTCCCAGCTTGTGGCTGATGTAGCAGCATTAGGTCAGGTCACGCCGTTTCATCCCTGACGGAGCGGAGGTCAAACTCGCCTCTTGCCAAGAAAAAGGCGTCGCTTGCCTATTTAGCGCCAGCGCTGCTTCGCCCTCCACGCAAGCTCCGAGCTGCCGCTTCGACCGTCGCCACTTTCCCTCCCAAGCTGCATTGCGCCGACGCGGCGTTCCTCCGAGTTTTGAGGCGGGTCCAAAGGGTGTGGCGCTCTCGCTTAATCCCCCGCGGATTCCACAGCTGTACGAGCTGCGGCGAAGCCTCCCGGACACTGAAGCTCGCCCTCTAATTTTTCTGCCACATGCAAAAGGTTTAATTTTACAGCCAGTTGTGTGTTTTCTGAGCACGCAGTGTTGAAGAATAGCTACACATCCTCCTCAGGGAATCGACTCACACGTTGCACTTCACTCAACGTGGCATCGCGCTGCTGTACGCGTGGCGCTAATTTGAATTGACAGGAACCGCAGCAAAGCGTCTCCTAACTGCTTATTTCTTTTTGTTCTCGTTCCAGCCGCGCGGTCAAGACCAATCAGGACCTGCTTCCGGAGACGCCCTGGACAAATATCTTCTACGATGACTTTTGGGGCACCTTACTCACGCACAGCGGCAGCCACAAGTCCTACCGGCCCCTGTGCACCCTCTCCTTCCGCCTCAACCACGCGGCGGGCGGGCTGGAGCCCTGGGGTTACCACCTGGTCAACGTGGCGCTGCACGGCGCCGTGACGGGCCTGTTCACCTCGCTGGCCCGCCTGCTGCTGGGAGGAGGCCCGTGGAGCCTGCTGGCCGGCCTGCTCTTCGCCTCCCACCCCATCCACACGGAGGCGGTGGCTGGCGTGGTGGGCCGGGCCGACGAGGGGGCCGCCCTGTTCTTCCTGCTGTCCCTGCTGTGCTACGCGCGCCACTGCCGGCTGCGCGGCCGGGCCGGGCGCCGGCGCCTGGCGGCCTGGTTCCTGGGCAGCTTGGGCTGCGCTGCGTGCGGCATGCTGTGGAAGGAGCTGGGGGTGACCGTGCTGGCCGTGTCGGCGCTGTACGACGTCTGCGTGTTCCACAGGCTCAAGCTGCGGCAGGTCGTCGCGCTCCTTTACGAGGTAAAGAAACGCCTGAGATAATAATCAGCGTTTGATGATGATGGTGACTATTTTCTTTTAGCTTTTGAAGTGTTCAGCTCTAAAGTGGCCTATTCTCGTATTGCCGTCCAGGCAAAGTGACATCCACAACTCATCGGCCCATCGTAGCAAATTTAACAAGACGTTTCCAAAAAAAGGTGATGAAAGGCTCCAGTGCAGCACGACCCAACCAAGAACAACACTTTTAGATGTGTTGCGTGACAGGAAAGGAGGGGAGGTGGGGGGGCAGTAAGAAAGGAGCCTGATCTTAGAGGGAAACACAGAGATGGAACTGTGAATCGAAGAGCAAATCCAGTCGGTCCCTTTGGTCGCTCAGCGTAAGTGTGGAAATTGAAGAGTGAGGCCCCTGTGCCCACGTCTCCTCTGCGCCGTCCTCTGTTGATTTAAGGCGTCTCTGACCCCCCGCGTCCTCTGGAGTGTCCATCCATTGCCGCGGGCGGACGGGCCTGCTAATGGCTTGTCAGGCACGGCTAGACTGAAGAGGAAAGCGGGCCAAAGGGGCCGAGGGAGAGGATGCCTCATAGCTGACAGTTTGTGAACTTTTTGAACGAAAAGTCTGCTGATGTAATTGGTATTGGGTGGGGCTGGGGGGGGGCGGAGAGGGGGGGGGGGGGGGGGGTTGTTACACTTTTGGCGTTGAGCAAGCCCTACAAATTAGTTTCATTTCTTGCCTTTTGTGGTTAACTGAACTGGAAAGGGGTTAAAAGAAAAGAAAAGAAAAAGTGACGGAACAAGACACAACATTAAAGCTAAAGTCTCTCAAATGTTACTTGGGGGATGTTTTTGGCAGTTGCATGTAGAACAGATTATTTCATGTGGTTGCATTGGGAACAATTTTGACTGAACATAGATTCTACGGGGCACATTTCCTACACTCCAAATTCCAACCATCAAATATCTATATTTGCACACACAAGCTGAACGACGGGGAGAAGAAAAAAAAAGCCGACATCACGTTCAACAAGTTTCAAGTGAATTGGCCGCTTCCCTGGCGCAACGACACATTCCAACTAACACATTAGTCTCGGGGAAAAAAAGGAGAAAACCTCTCAATGGTTGTACTCTGCATCGAGAGCACACATGAGGAGCTGCGTGGGTTTTGAGAGACACTTAAGCAAACGATCTGCAAAACAACCGCGTCTCATTCCGGCGAGAGAAGACGGGCAGAGCAGCTTTTTTCGTTTCACTGGGAAACAGACAATGACTCCACAATTAAATGCAACCCACGAGCTGACAATTGTCCTAGCGTGTCATTTAGTCGCACCACAGACGACGTAAAAGGAAGCACAAACACAAGGGCTGTCATCATCGCGTCAACCACGCTTACTTTTAAAAAAGAAATGTTTTTTTTTTGTCGGGCCTGCGACGCAATGCTGATCGTAGATCCGTGTGTATGAAGCGGTGAGGCCTGATACGTTATCGTCCTGCAGGGCAAACAGGCCTCTGCGACAGCGTGCATATTGTTCTCCCTTTGTCTAGGCCCGTGGAGGGGGGGGGGGGGCGTCACATTGACTTATGATAAGAAAAGGGAGTTTTTCCCTTCAGGGCATGTTGGGCTTTCGACCGCCCGTGTGAGCATTAGTTGTGCTGATAACGATCGCGCTGAAGTGAAGTGGTTTCCTCCCCGGGGACGTTCGCGATCCATCGGGTGCCGAACACGTGGTCTGGTCAACCAAACTGTGGTCATTTGAGAATAGGAAAAGCGGAACATTTTTCTTTGTTTGAGGACATAAAGCGCCATTCTGCAGCGGGACTTAATGAGTCCGGCTTGTTGCCGTGAGTGACGGGCCACAGCGGGCTACGTCAGCCTTTTCACATTAAAACGCTGGAAACGGTGAAATGGGCCTGCTTATCTGATCGTGGCGCACAGTCAATTACATTAGACTTTTATATCTGCTGCAAATCTCTCGCTGTTGCCGCGACGGCTTCTGTGTGCGGTTTGAAACGTTGTACGCCGGCGAGACTGGGAGGTTCCCCGCAATTAATTTAATCATTTCATCGAGACCTTTTAAATGTAAGCTCTCTGCATGCAAATCAGAGTGGGGGGGGGGGGGGGGGTAATGCCCGGGTACGATCAAGTGACTTTCGCAGGCTTCCGTTAGTGTGATGCCATCTTCAGAGATGACGTGGATCCCATTCTTGCGTCAAATGTAAAAGTCCCCGGATAATAAAACGTTCTTAAAAGGGATTAGACCAATTTGTGTCAACTTTCTGCTGCTAGAGTATAGAGTGCATTCTGCGTAACAGCAGATGAGAGTTGAGGACTGCTGCTGCTCTTGTTTCTGCACAGAGAGGGAAACAATAGTGCAGTAGAAATAGAATACGCACACGTTGGGTTTGCGGGTGACTCTGGAGTCAAAAACTGTGGGGAAAGGCTTTTATTAAGAGATCTGGTGCAGCCTTTGCATGCTCAAATTGAAAAACACAGTGCCTTCTAGATAAATGCATGTCACTGCACATTTAGATTATGTTTTGATGAATATATATATATACACACAAAAACCGCCTTGTTCTTACGAAATCTGCCCGCGTTAGCTTGCATTAGATTTGAGCTTCTTCTGACCCGTAACCCTCCTACATACTTTTCAACAGTCATCGCTCTTCCTCCGGTCATTAGTGTGTACGTTTATTGTCCAGCACATAGAGGCCTGATAACCACTGACAGCGTAAGTCCTGAAGTTACTCATTCCAGAGACATGTGGTGTCTTCAAGTGTGGAAAGATCGTATGATTCAATAGTTTATTCACGCTGACCTTTTACAGCGGTTTTATCCTAAAGTTGTCTTTGTGCCTGATTCAAAGAAGTTCTGTCCATGCAAAGAGCTACTGCCACGCAACGGCTTTACAGCATGCAAATGTAACATAGTTGGTGATGGTGTTACTAAGATTAATGTGGAAAAAACGTGCTTTTTACAAGACCATTTCCTACACTGTAATAGGCTCATTTTCAATTAGAGATGGTGAAACACAATTACAGCTCCTAATTTATTATAGGAAGGAATGCTTGTTAATAAGATCTCACATGGTTTATTACGTGGCACGCTGCAACAAATTGTCTGTCCTGAGGAAAGGGGCGTTCTTACTCTGTTTCCCATTAAATTAAACGTTTGGACAATTTGAAGACGGTATATTTGACCGTAACACGATTTGGTCATATATTTAGGCACAGACTTGTTCTATTTTAATGTGCGGCTTTATTTAGTCACGGGCATTAATTATTATTATTATTGAGTGAAAAAAAGATCTGTCAAACCAAAGAAAGTTTGAACCCACTTCCTCATTGAATTTAATGAGAAAATGTGTCCAGACTTTTGACTCGTGTGCAAAAAGAAGATTTTCAAAGTGTTATTTCGTGTTAAATATTTAACTGCAAAGTAGTAATGCAATTTCGACAGCTCAATAGTTTTGCATTAAATCACACTGGGATGTTTGTTGAAATCGATTGCATAGCCCTCCCTGGAAAATGTTCTGCAGAGAAATAAAAGGTTCCGTATAGCACAGACTCCCAACGGAGGCGACACCCCTTACAGGCCCACGACGAGTCGCCCGCCTTGGAAAACACAATGCAGAAATCCGATGCTTTGAAAGTGTGAAGTGGATCCAAAGGCAGAATGGTGGTGATGTAATGTCGAGGCACTGTGTCCATCAGTACCTCCCTGACTCCACAAAGGCCCCGACGTTCCTTCAGAGAAACTCGAGGTGTTCCTTCGACGGTCGCTCTTTGTTCACGTCCGGTGACGCTGCCGCTGGGAAAATGATTTTTCCAAATCTGGGACGGGACCCAACTGGCCTCTGGCGAATGTCAAGCTTACACAGTTTATCTTTTCACACCTCCCATTTTCTGTTCACACTTTGGCTATTAGTCCAAGGTCACTGCTGCTGCTGCTGTGTGTGTGTGTGTGTGTGTGTGTGTGGAGGTTGAGAGAGCTCAGGTGTCGTGGAGCTGGTGAGGTCGGAGAGGTCTGAACTCAGGGAGGGCAGTTGTGAGAGGTGAGATGCACGTGTGCCGATGCCAGGTTACACTCCAAGGTGTGTGTGTGTGTGTGTGTGTGTGTGTAGGTTGGAGATACGGAGCCTACACACACACACACACACACAAAACACGACACCCTCACCCACCCTTTGCTGTGTGTTGGATGAGGTAAAAGAAAACACAGCCCAGCCGGTACATTCTCACCCGGGGCTCCACAGATGCTCCTCCGTGCTCTAATGCCTCCCGTCACCGTGTGATGGATCGGGCCTGGTGGGCTGAGCTCGGCCCACCTGCCTCTCGCATTGGGGATACACACCACCTCTCCTGGTCTGGACATGGAAACGAGCGGTGGGCGGCATGCATAATGGAACGACACGTTCATAGAAAAAAAAAACCAAAGGTTACTTAGCCGGCTGAGCGCTTGGAGTGGAAACTGCATGAAAATAAACCCGAGGAGACCGTTCGGCTCATCTCTGCGCGCCATTTTTGCATTGTCGAGTTGTTGAATATTTTCCTCGATGTGCACCAAACGTCCGCAACTTAGATTCTAAACTTGTACTTGGATTTTTCACGTACAAAAGCCGTGCATTTTGGGGAAGACGTTGCAAACACAGATTGAGCGGGTTCCTCGGGAGGGGGGGTTTAAGATGAGGCGAGTGCAGCCACGGTGATGGAAAGTGACTGGAGCTGCGTGTGCTTCAGCCAGCCGTTCATCACGCATGAGTGAACCTGACAGTCAAGGTGCCAGCGACAGTGACCCCCGGACTGCTGGAAAAAAAAAAAAAAGCCTCTCGCAGGTATTGAAAAAGCAATGTGGCCTGAGTACGTTCAGCATGCCGTCCCTTCTTAGCTTCTCCGCGTGATTGTAAACAGCCGTGTTGGTGTTTGTGAACCCACACGTAAGACGTCAGTCCAGAAAGGGAGCGTCTCACGGCGCCGCTGTCCCGCAGCATCAGGGATGACTTAATGGAGACGCGTATAGATTTGCT